AAGTCAGCCACATGGAAAGCTTGTAAATTCAGCACGAAGAGAATCTAGGAAAACGCTATAATTGCTATGGCATACACCAACCTAAAACAGCTCTCATGAATAAAACAAAATCTTGATGAGCAAAGAAATGTAGAAAAAGAGCAACAAAGCCCGCTGGCTCATCACTCAATGCTCTGTACTCACTCTAGCCCGCCAATGAACAGAGGTAGATAGGTTCAGTTCGTTCAGATGACCCGGAGCAGACCCGCGCGAAATAGTACCGTTTCCGACCTGAAGCGAGCCGTCCTGGTCGAAACGGGTGAGCTTGACAGAATGCCACTGGTTGAGGGCAATGGTATGACTCGATCTGGAAAAGAAAATGTTTGTGTTAGTATGTTACCAGGATGACATTCGATAGAAATGCAAGTTTCTGATCTACACATTGAGCGCCATTGGTCAAATCGCATTTCAGGAGTATGCAGATTGCGCATTTATCCATCACAAAAAATCGCATTCTAATGGGTTGTTTTCACAGTACCAATGACTTTGACACAACGTTTTTATGTCATTACTGCAGTTTATGTCATACAACCATTGCCAACTCGGATTGCTTTGGGGATAGACAACACAGACACATAGTTAGTACGTTTCTTTTGCATTTTAATGATGACTATAAGAGTGAAGAAAATATAAGAGTGAAGAAAATATAATCTCTCATAAAATAAGAGGGAGCTTGGTTACGTTAGTCACGATGCAATTGCAATACTTTAAATCATGTGATGACTGGCAAGGTAAATTGCGGCATGGCCTTGGCGGTAACTGAGGACAATAGGACAATAGTGCAACTCTGATTTGTGTGAATGCTTACTTTCTTTGAAACAAAGCTGCGAAATCTTATTTCTTGTGGAGGTGGTATCGTTTATCAAACTCATAACGCACGCATTGCACAATCAGACATGTTCACCATGTACCCCGCTATATTGGTAGGCTCTTTCATTTGGTGCGTCGTATGCTTGGTTGTCATAGTCGCCGTCTGCAAGAAAAAGCCAGATGCAAAAACCGTACAAGAAGATGATCCTTCGGTGGTCAGCTCCTTTGTGATGGAAACCAATGAGTGAGTACTATTTCATGTTGCATTTCATTCTTAGGCGTACGAAACAGGGAAGCTACGAACGACTCAACTAAGCAAAGCTTGATAAATAAATAGCTGATCGATCTAGGTATACCAATTTAAATAGGGAACAAATTGATTAGCTTTTCGTTGTAATGAACGCAAATATAACATGCCATCTTCTGGCAATATTCAGGACTGATTTAGTGATACCATGGCAATATGAAGTTCTACGTAAAATATATAATTAATAAAGTCCACAGCTGCAAAAGGCAATGAACTCAAACGATAGTGAACGTAGAGGTCTTATTGGAACACACCAACTCTGTGGAAAATAATGCATTGGAGACATCAAGCTCCGTGTGTCAGTTCCATGCGTTATACAAATGCCTGTAAAAAAGCGAAGGCAGCCTGCAGAAATCTGGGAAAGAGTAAAATCGAGAGGGTGAAACAGAGCTTAGTCTAGAGTACGTAAACTTAGCAGAAAGAGTGGAAAAGATAGGACACAGAAGGGGGAAAATGAGAACGAAAGTGAAGAGCAATGGACAGGTAAGAGAGAGAGAGAGAGAGAGAGAGAGAGAGGAGAGAGAGAGAGAGAGAGAGAGAGAGAGAGAGAGAGAGAGAGGAGAGGGAGAGGGAGAGGGAGAGGGAGAGGGAGAGGGAGAGGGAGAGGGAGAGGAGAGGGAGAGGAGAGAGAGAGAGAGAGAGAGAGAGAGAGAGAGAGAGAGAGAGAGAGAGAGAGAGAGAGAGAGAGAGAGAGAGAGAGAGAGAGAGAGAGAGAGAGAGAGAGAGAGGACGATTAAGTCTAATCAACGAAACGCTCCCACGCAGATATGCCGACTAGCCCTTCTTCTTTAATGTCTTTTAATGTATAAATATCGAGCAAAGAGTAGGCTAACTATTTCATGATTCATGAATGATCCAAAGTAATTCATAATAAAGTGATCCTTCTATCCCACACATATTTTTGAAATCTTCGACGTGCCGGACCATCCGAACAAGTTCTGGGATAGATAAACAATGTTGGCCATTTCTTGTAAAAACCGGCCTTAAACATAAGCCAGAAGATCCAAAATTATTTCCGTCCCCTTTGCTTCCACTGAACTTTGCTCGTTCGCTATTCAAGTAGTCTTCTTGTCATAGATCCACGTGAATCTATGCAAAAATAACAAATGCAGCGCACAGAAATGTTTAAATTTCGTTGAAAACTTTTAGGGCTAAGAACAAAATTGTCTGCATATTTTTTTTTAGAATGAGAATAACACAAAAGTAAACAAATTTTTAAGTTGATCACTATAAAGAAATAAACAAAGCTGCATTGATATTTACAGATGTCCTGAAGACACGTGCGAAATAGCCGACGACAACATTGATCGAGTATGAAGAAAATCTTCGGCATTGGATCATCCAAGAAAGGCAACGAAGGCCAAAAAGCACCTGCAGGTGGCGGGGGAGGAGGTGGCGGAGGACCTTCAACAATAGCTGGTCCAGGTGCGAATTCAGGACCTTCCGCTAAGTTGAGCGCTACTGAACCGGAACACTTGAAAGCAAGGTTATCACTTGGAGGTGAAGCTGCTAAACCCGTATATAACCCACAAATGGGTGGCAAGTTTCAGAAGGTGGAAGCGAATTTCAAGGAGAAGAACATACACGAGCAAGACCTAAGGGCGGAAGATATCGAAGATCTAGAGTAGATAAAAGAAAATATAATAAAACGTGTTTTCCCCAAGATCATCTGCATTTTGATATTCAATCGCAAGAAAATCAGTAACATTGCAGTTCAAGCGTAGTAACACTAGTACACAATTACAAATCTTCCAACAGCCAATTCAACAGGACCAGCAAGATTACTGATCAGATGAACCATGCAGTAAGTAGCTAAGGTGCTCATACGACTTTAAATCGTGCGATTTATAAGGCATGTATGACACTGCCGTCGACGTTTTGCCAATGGACGCCACTTGCGATGCTTTAGTAACAGAATATACTTTTCAGTTATAAAATGCAGATCAACTGGGAAACTTTTAAAAACGTAATGATTTTATCTCATTCATTTGACATATTTACTAAGAGGGCAAACATGTATTTGAAGGGCAAAAGTATATACTTATGTCTTATGTCCAGCTAAGTCTTGTATCAGCACAATAAGCACACACATATAAATGCATAAGCGCCATTAGCAGCACCAATTCGCAAAACACGTCTGGTTAATCTCGGCTGGTACAGCTGAGGCACAGAGCTGAATTCTGACTGTTTTCGTTCCTCTGGCCTAAACATCTCGACAAATCATTCGGTCGGGAGACGAAAAGGGATATACCGGCAAACGCCGCAAAGTTAGATGGCTGAGACGTCGCCTGGTGTTTTAGATAGACCACACCAATCACCAAAAGTGCACGTACGGCAAAGCGTGGCGGCTACGTGCGGTGAACTACGGTCGAAGGCTTTTGCGGTTCCGGCTGAGGCCAGTGGTAAATACGTCCCATTCAACAAGTCAACAGTGCAATACCGTGAACAATGTCTTGCCAACGTATCAAATCAAACATAAATCCTGGTCATGCGGGAGCCGGGGGATTCGGCAGGTCCTTTGGCTATTCCAAGTTCGATAAGCGACACTAGATGTAGGCAGTTTTATCAGTCTTAACCCTATTCCTGGCGGGCTCCGCCGGGACAAGAAACTGGCGGGGGGGGGGGGCCGATTCGGCCCCCCCCTGAGATCTCGAGAACGAAGCAAGATAGCGACAAGCGGTAAACGGCATCGGATACGCACGGCCAAGATCTACAATTTTTACTAAGGTCATTTTCAGGTCAGGTCAAAGATGACGTCACAGGGGTCGAAAAAGTCAAAATGGCGGCGCTAGATATGGAGAGAGTTTTTCTCGAATAACTTTTGAATTAGTCAAGATAGGAACAACCTAAGGGCATCATCGTGATCCTCTCGTCAATCCGCATCGAATGATATATATGTTGACCTCGAAAGGTCAAGGTCAAAGGTTGACCTCAGGTCACGTGAACTCGAGGTCATCATGTATATCATTCGATGCGTCTTGACGAACTGAACACAATGAGACCATCCACGCGTCTGTATCTTGTTCCTGTACGGAGTTATTGGCCAAAAACCTTTGGTGACCTTTGATGACGTCACATGACCTCACAGCTGCCCAACAGCAAAACAGACCTCAAGGTAGTGAAGGTTGATCGTATATGAAGTCATGTATGGTATATGGGGCCATTCCGACCAGTTTTAGTGGTAAAAACAGGGAGTTCATTTTTCCCCCATTGACTTATAATGGGGAGGTCGCGAAATTGACCTGACCTTAGGTCACCGATATCAAAATTCCGAGATATACAAATTGCACATACTGGTACCCTAACTAAACCCTGAAGAGAAGAAATTGATCGATCAAAAACTCTAGCTCTGGCGTGATTGCAAACTTTTCTGAGGTAGGGTCACCAAACCGCCTCTGGTGACCTGACCTGAGGTCAGATCAACTCAAAATTTTCAGACATGTTGCGTAGAAGCCTTTTAGGAAAAGTCAGAAAATTTGAGCTTCCTAGCTCAACGCGTTTGGGAGAAATAACCAAAAAACCTCAGGGGGGGGCTCCTGAGGCCCCCCCCCCCCGCCAGGAATAGGGTTAAATTGAAAAGTGCCTTTATCACGCTACGACGATGAGCACCGGTCTGGACAAACACATACATAAAGCAAATCCTTTCTGGGATAGCTGATAAGGTCCTTTTCACAACATTATTGATGGAAGAGAATATGGAACTAATAACTACTTGGGCAGTAGTTACAGTAATACACATCTATTGCTGGAACCATGATGACATTGTTTTTTGTCGATCTAAATCAGAAAGACATAGCAAAGAAGAAGGTATATAATGAACCATTTCCTGTTTATATTGGCCTAAAGTTTTGGTGAAAGTGCACAAGCTGTTTCCTCTCGTCCACTTCAATGCATTTTAATGATCGTTATCTTCACCGTTACAGGGTAAACGGGCTTTGCTGCTGCCGTAAGTTTGGGAAAATACGGCCAAGGGACCCATTTTCAAGAAGGCGTTTAGCAAGAGAAAAAAGCCTCCGTAAAAAAACTCATGTAGAAACAACTTTCAACCAATGTTTTCCGTATCTAACTGTCGTGAGGCTTCAGTGTCTACAAAGAAAGCTCTACATTCTCTCCGACTGGGTGCCACCGCTGCCACTTATTCCACTATCCCAGCCTATCCAGAGTGGGGTCAAATATCAAAAGCACGAAGCTGACACTTATGCAGAATGCCTGGCGACACGGCCGTTGCTCCATGTAACCCGTAAACACCGGCAGAGCAGGATACCGTGAAGTATTCGCGAAAAAGATGTTACACTCAAACATTGCGTGGCCGTACCAATTTAAATGTGTTCTAGGTGACATTCCACGCTAAATATCCTTAGAAAAACTTATTATGCTTTACCTCGGACACAATAGCAATTTGTAGTGTCACCCTCTCAATAGAGCGCTCTGTGACAAATGAAGTAGATCAACGTTCACCTCTAGCTAAGTTTGAGCATATTTCGCGACAACGTTCATTTTATGCAACGCTATAGCATACGCAGATGGAAATGAGCCTTTGTCCGTCAGAGTTTGGTCCAGTTTAATTGTTCGATCCGGCATTGGAACGTCAACTTCTGAATAAAAGGACGGGTGTGAGCTAGAAATGAGATAACTACTAAACGAGAACACACAAAAAACAACTGTTTTCATTTCCGGTACGTTGGAATGGTCATAGGCCAGTTTCATATAGAATATCCCTGGATGCGAGATCTATTTTTCGATTAGCGAAAGGGCGTTCTTCAAAGAAATAGATTGCTAACGTACCTACCAACCTAATGTGCTTTGTCACATTATGCTGGCCAGTTTGGCGCATTCTTTGGCGTCGTCGAAAGGCCATTATCATTACAGGATCGGCACGAACGGGACGCAGTCTGTCACGCGCTGCGCATTGTGCGAATGTAATGCACTGTGATGTTCCCTGGTAGGACATCCGGAGGAGTAGCTTCGATGCTGGACGCAGAAGAGTCACGCTACTTCTCATAAATTTGTTAATGGTGTCTAGCCAATGTGTATTTCCTGTCAAGGAAGGTTAGGTAACCATAAATGAACAGGCTCGATGATCGTGTCAGCGCAAGTGTAAGTACATACATGAATTGCGGCAAACGGCTTGGGATGAACGGAGCTAGGGAAGTTTTAGCTGGTCAGTCAGCCATTGCTTTGCAAAAAAAAAAAACGTACAGTCCTCCTTTCATATCTACGAGCGCTGCTTCACTAGCCTTCCAGCCCTTCAAAATCACCGCTGGGCACTGACACACCAACAGACATCCATTCGTCTTCATACGGGGCAAGCCAGGGCGGGGTGCCGACTGCCGACTGCCGGGTGACCTCCTCCGAGACGGCCAGCCCGTCGCCGGAAACAATCTTTTTAGCGCTGCAGAATAATGCCTGTCAGGCGGCTGATCGTTGACGCGTCGGCCGGTGACTCCGTCAGCCCGCACCGCAGTGTTCTCGGTAATGAAGTCGACGTCGACAGGCGTCGGCGCATCGGTGTCCAGCGGCGGCCGGCGTGTCAGGCCGTCACCAAGTTGAGCAGCGGCGCCGTCGCCGCCGTCAGTCACCGGTCACCCGGCCGCCGGCGATGAGCCGTCTCAATGAGGACTAATGCATTATCGAGCAGTTCTCAGAACTGTACAGAGGTTAGCGGTGTGATGTTTTAAATCGGTCATGTGAGCGGGTTTAAAGGTTATAGCAGCCTGAAAACTTTGACATCCGACACTGGTGCCAGTTTTGAATGTTGGTCCAGTGGTTACGCGGTGACGACGTGCGACATGATATGCAGTGCGATCACGTGGCAGTGAAGTGTGTACAGTGTCCACTACAATGGCACTACGGAACTATTCCAAGCGTAGGGACAAACGTATAGAAATTTGCGCTCAGAGGATCTTCGTTTCTTCGGCATCCATTTCCTAATTGACGGTTGTTAAGTCTCTCATGCTGGCTCTAGGCACGTGACTGTCTCATTTGTTGCATGCACTTGCAGTAGCTAGTAATGCCGAACGATTAGTGACCTAGCCGCCATAAGGGCTTTCCGTTTCCATTTCGTAATGAAGAATTACCAGTTCTTCCGCATTTGCTGGCATGCGACTTAGTTTCATCATAACTAACACAGCCTGCCACAAACATACCGCCACGATAAAGATCAGCAGATAATGGTATGCCGCTCCCTGACACACACTATATAGCGACGAGTTTGTTCCCTTTGTAGGGTTAGGCTCTTCCGCTCCAACCTTTGCACCGTTGAGACCTTTGCATAGCCGGAAGGATGATACGAATAAAAGGGAGACATTGGTCTGGTCGGGAACCCTGGTGCTCCGCCGGGGCTGAGCCCATCACAGTGGACAGACCACCCAACCCCGCTAACGGTCACCCTACCGAGCCATGGGCCTGCTCCTGGGGTGGAGCCATCCATGTCGGATTAAGGTAACCATCCAGCCCGGATCAGAGAGTGGAGGCGCGGAGGAGAAGGGTTTGACAATTGACTGTCACGATGACGGAAAATGAAGGAACGGTGTGTGTATCTATGAGTTCATGGTGTAGCTTTCCGTCCTTTACATTGGAAACTGTTATTGAATTAATGGCGGGAACAACAGAGCTGTCTCTCTTTCCGGGCTTCCAACCATCTCTGTTGGACAAGTACTGATGAAATGGATGATTTTGGAGGTTGAAGACTGGCGCGTGATCGTACGCGTTAGATAAATGAAACGTGAATTGCTTGTTGTTGAAAATATCACAAATGTAAGGAATGATAATATATAAAACTACTCATGAATGCTCATGAGTTAACCCGCGCCCCAGTGGCGGTCTCAGCCAACTTCGCCCTAGTGGGGGGGGGGGCATATGTTACCACCCACCTCTAACTCAAAAACTAAGAGGGATAGAAAGACGCGGTAAAAAGCAGTCGATAGCTCTCAATGCGTACGTTTGAAAGTATTTCGGTCATTTTTCACCTTTGAGCAATATTGGGGTCACCAGAGGTCATCAAAGGTCAAAATTTGCCAATTGTCATTATATTTTTCAGAAAACATGCCGCTATCTCAGGAACTATGATAGCTAGAAAAACGCATGGAACAGCAAACGATAGCTTTTGAACTCTTCTTTTGAAAAGGTCATTATCAATATTGACCTCAGGTCAACGGTTTAGCCTCCAGAGGGCAAAAACTCCCAAAATAGCTGTTTTTGCGAAAAGTGTTTTTCGACAATAACTTTTGACTACAAGAAGCCACGGCATTTCTATTGCCAGAATCGTGTTCCCCTCGCCGAGACGCGTCGAATGAACTATAATTTGACCTTGAAAGGTCAACTTGAAAATTTGACCTCAGGTCAAGGTCATGACCTGACCGGAAAAGGTCATGTTGCATATCAGTCGATGCGTCTCAACAAGACAAACACAATGAGACCATCCCCAGCGTTCTATCTCTTTCCAATCGCGAGTTATTGGCAAAAAACTGTTTGTAGCCTCAAGTGACCTCAGATGACCTGTCTAGAGGCTATCAGCAAAAACGACACCTTGGTCATCACGAGTGGACTAAATCATTGTGATTCTGAAATATTTGGACTGTTCCCATGCGTACACACGGATCTAGAGGCATTTTCATTTTTCTCCATTGCCTTATAATGGTAAGGTCACGCCACTGACCTTACCTTAGGTCACGGATATGAAAAATCCGAGATATACAAATTGTAGGCGCCCATAACATCATGCAATCCACCAAGTTTGAAACCTTTCTGACAAACACTGCAGGCTGGGCATGATTGCAAACTTTTTTTTAGGCTTGGTCAGTTAACTTGACCTGGTGACCTGACCCGACATGACCTGGGGTCAAAAATTTCACACATTGTCTAAAATTGATGTACAAAAAGCTACCCCAAGCGGCGCGGCGCTACGCGCCGCGCTTTTTTATTTACACGCGAAAAACGCGACAGGGTGGTAACATATGCCCCCCCCCCCACTGGGGCGAAGGTTAATTACTCGTGTCATTCAATTACATACTCATTCATTTACTCATGGATGATGGCCGTTACATTGATAGACGATGGCGAGTGGTGACTAGCGGATTTCTGATGTCTGTTTTTTTTTCTGAAATCGAATTGCTGTGCACATGCTGGAAGACAACTATAATCGTAGCTTGTAAATGCTTTGAAGGTTGCAAAACTATGCTTGGGTGTATGGCTTGACTAAAAAGAGTAAATTCAGTGGTGTTCGTGCTTTCCTGGAACGACAATGTCAAACAGCAGAAAGCTGCTTATTCTCGAGCGACAAATAATTCAAACACAAGAAGTCCCGGGGTGAGTCAACAAGTTCGGGGAAATCAACTTCAACTTTCAAAGTTCGCCGAATGTTTTTTGTGTTAACATGATTCATGTCAGATATTCTTCGTAAATTCCAAGAGATTCAAGGATTATAGCATGTGTTGTCAAGCGATCTGCGGTGTTGATCTTTTTGGCATGCCTTTTAGCTTCGAACTTTTTGCAGGTGCTGCCGTAGAATCTCTGTTGTGTCTGGTAGCCTCACTAAATAGGTTTACCTCACATGAGCTGACGACTTGAGCTGATGTCGCTGCATCGTAACATCCAATGGCAAACAATAAATTGTTAATCTTTTTGCTGGCATCAGCACGTAAGCAAATTTCAGGCATAATGGGAATTCTTATTCAAATTGTCGTAGCCATAATGCTTGCAAGGAAACTTCTACCTTGAATTATTATTATAGTGCAATGACGCATTAGTAAATGTCGGCCGGTTTGTTGATAAGCGATAGCAAACTCCCTTCAGCCGTAAGTTGCTGCTGGGGAGGAATTGTGACCGAAAGGAATTGTGACCGAAAATACCTAGACGGCTGACACCTAATTTCTCGGCAATAATTCTTATCACACCCTTCACGTGGAGTAGCACAACTACCTATTCTACAACATTGACGTCTGTAAGTACTTAGCTACTTATGCTAAACCCCCTCAGACGCCTTCACCGTTCCATGTCAGTACAGTAATCTCCGTTGATCGCCTCATGAGCCCGGCTCAACTCACTTGATGCTGGCTGCTCCTGAGCCGAGGTCATAGCCGAACTCCAGTCGACCTCCGCTGAGGCGCAGTCCGATGAAGTCGCTGCTGGTCTGCCGCTGACCGGAATAGAGCAGGACGCCGTCTGGTGATCGGGTCAGAAACCAGAGCTCCAGCTCCAGGGATCGGCCCGCGTCCCGCAAAGGACGCAGCTGCAGGTACGAAGAGCCGCCGAAATTCGGTACGAACGGGTCCGATATGTGGTCTGTGCGAGCTGCAAGACAGGAAATGATGACAGGTCACTATATGCACGAGATTGTGTGGCGGAAAGAAATCAGATGTCCATCACTGGATTATAGCAGCAACTGACATAAGCAAACGTGTTATCTTTTTATATTATGAGTAGGCTCTTTCGGCCAGAAAGGCTATTGCAAAGCTATAGGATGAAAGGATAGGGTGTAGACATTGGACTGTGCGGACCACCGACGTTGCACCGCAGCGGCAGAGACTGTCCCGGTGGGACGGAAATGTCCGAATGGGACAGCCCGCTCTGTCGCTAAAAGGGTCACCCCGGAGAGGAAGTGGCTCTGGCGTGGGCCTGCCCTCACCACCGGTTGTCTAGTGGGGGCGACCGCCTGCCCGGAAAGGGAAGCGTGAGGGGGAATTCGGATGGTGCCGGCGAGGATGGATGAGAAAGCACATGAAAATCACAGCTGAATGTTACAATGGTCGAACGAAGCGCTGTCATTCGGGCCATCACTCTTTTTTGGGAAAATAGTGCTATTTTTCCCCAAAAAGAAAAAAACTTTCCCTGTGCTAATTTTTTCCCCCAGTGCTCACTGGAATGGCACGTGATATTTGTTCTGCAAGGGTAAATACTTGAGCCTTGCTCACTAAAAAGTGGGCCATCAGTATTCAGCGACGAACTTCGCTCGAATGCAACAAAGAAACGCGATCAAAGCATCAATGCCCACTGCCCGTGCGTTTTTAGTGCCCACCTTGTTTGTTTGTTTTGTTGGGTTAGGCCCTTTCGGTCCAATTAGACCATTTCAGAGCCGGGAGGATGATAGGATATAGGGGGAGACATTGGTCTGGGCAGGCACCCTAGTGAGTCGCCGGGGCTGAGCCCGTCCAGAGGACAGGCCACCCAGCCCCAAGGCACTCACTGCACCCGGCTACGGGGTGCGCTCCCTCAGGAGCAGCGGTGCCGCTCCAAGGGAGCAGCCCGCATGAGATGAAGTTGCCTGTCCAGCCCGGAGGGGGTTGCGGCGTGGAGGAGAAGGACTTCAGTATCCTGAGGATAGAAGCACGGAACGGTGAAGTAGTGCCCACCGTAATTCTGCCTGGCTAGTGGTTGTCAGACCTGTCCCTAGATGGCGTTAGACGTAAACGCCTGAATGTGTATACTGTCCCGCAGGACACGTGTTAGCTGAACGGACCGCGCTGTCGTCGTAAGCTGCCGCGTAACGCTGACGAAGCACAATAAGCACACTTTTTAACTGCGGTAAGAGGTCGCAAAGGAATATACTACTACAGCCCGTGAAATTCCCCACACTGCTCAATGCTCACTGCTCACCTTCCTGGCAGCGGTCGCCCCATCTGCCGGGCGGGCACAGACACTGCAGTGTGCCGTTCCCTGTACTGGTACAGGTGGCGCCAGCAGCGCAGGCGTCGGCGGCGCTGCACGGGTCTGCACTGTCCTCACAGTGGTCACCTGAAAACGTGACCAGAATGAGGTGGAACTGAGATCATGAAGGAGGCACAGACGTTGGTTTCTTGTTAAGCCATATGCTTTACAGGCTTGCTTTCACAGGATTTCTGAAACACGCGTGCATTTTAACCTTCCACATACGAGTGAGGCACTCCCAGTCCGTTATCGCATTAGTGGAAGAACTATCTGTCTGATGATTACTCAACTATCAGGATGAACATGTGACAACCAGCCCGCGATAACACCCCCACCGGCTCCACGCCTGCCTGTATCCTCTCTCACCAGTAAAGTGCTGCGCACACTCGCACAGGTAGCGGTGACCGGTGGTGAGCACGCACAGGCCTCCGTTTTGACACGGCTGACTGGCGCACGGGTCGCTGCGACACTCCGTGACGCCCCGTGACGAGGTGATGTCACGTGACCCCGGCTGGCGGAGGTCAGCTGACGCCGCCCCGCCCACCCGCAGCCGGCGGACACAGCCCACCAGGCCGAACACTGTACCCGTGTTCTCGTACACTCTGGGAAAAGAGGAACGTAGATAACTGGATATACTTACTTATATTTACACATAGGTCTTAGCTCTCCAAACGTAATCAACAAAAGACAAGAAAAATGATTGGCCTATTCATGGATTTTTTATCTATCGAGTTCATATTATTGTCGGTTTCGGTACCTATTTTATGCTGCACAGCTCTCAGGCGGTGCGAATAACAATTAACATCCCGTGTTTATAATAAAAATCCTGCAGAACATGCAAAAACGAAGATAAGTCAGGCCTTACCTGTCGTATTTGCTGGGTACATGTCCGACGTAGAGCATCTCGCTGAGGTCCAGAGAGCGCCACTTTCCGTCCGACTGGCCGTGAATGCTCTCTCCGTCATCAACAATCAGCTGACCGTCCCTGGAAAGAGGGCAGAAGACATCGAAAGCGGTTGAGTACCTTGGAAGTAGTGCTATGACCACAATAATGCTAGAAACATACGAGCTCGATTTCTTATCATCAGTTGGTGTCGTCTAAACGGCGGAATAATGCAACCGCTGCAACCGTTCACGTACCCGTGGTACCGTCTGGCCACCACTGTATGGTACATACTCTCCCTGGGCGACCCTCTGCGGAGAGGTTTCACGTGCTCTCTGTAGAGTACGTGAGACCTCCCACCTACTCCCTACCGTTTACGTACCCGTGGTACCGCCGCGCGACCACCTTGTGGTACTCTCCCTGGGAGACCCTCTGCAGAGAGGTCTCACGTACTCTCTGCAGAGTTACTCCCTACCGTTTACGTACCCGTGGTACCGCCGCGCGACCACCTTGTGGTACTCTCCCTGGGAGACCCTCTGCAGAGAGCGGATCACCACCGGGCCGTTACCGATGTCGTAACGAAACTCCACGAAACTGAAACACATACAGTGATCCGTCACAGAGGTGATAGAATCAGAGGCGGCGGTACTGATATACGAGGGGCGTTCAAAAAGTTATCGGCCCAACCATGAAGGAGTTGGAATTTCGGCCTGCAACGCGGTGTGTTCAATGATGTGTTATTGGGATGACCACTTACGTAGCCATTAACCAATCTGCCCTGTGATTGGTTCAGGCTGCTAATTAATCGCAACATAGTTTGCCATTCCCGGTCAGAATGGGCGACGCCCAGAAGGGAGCAGTGATTTGGTTCATGTATTGCAGAAAAATGCACCAAACGCTATTCACGAAAAGCTAGTGGCAACACATGTTGAGGTTTGTCTTTCTTACAGTAGCGTCAAAAAGCGAACATCTCTGTTCAATTTTGGTCAACAGATCATTAAAGGTCACCCCTGCAGTGGCCAGCCATCAACAGCAATGACTCAAGAAAATATGAAAAATAAGCACTTCTTTGTGAAAATGACAAATGTTCTGGTCTGGAACAACGCAGCAGAAGCGGAGGTGTCTATCAGGTTCCTCAAAGCCATTCTTCGACAGCGTATTAATATGTTTAAGATCTCTGCAAGATGCATCCCCCGTTTGCTGACTCCAGAGGAAAGGCAAACTCGAAAGGAGGCGTAACGCGAAAATTTTGGCCCTATATCGAAGATCCAAAGGAGTTCATTGAACTACTTGTTACCGTGGAGGGATTGTGGGTGTCACACGTTGATCCTAAGGGCGTGACCGAGTTGCACAAGTGGAAGCACACTGAGTAAAGGCCACCAAATGTGTGCGACGTGTTTAAGTCAGACGGCAAGGTGACAGTGGTTGCATTTTGGGATGCTGGCGGGGCTCTGCTCGTCAACTTTCTAAAACAGGGGCGCACAATTAATGATGAATACTACACCTCCCTTCGATAACAGTAGCGAGCAGCAGATATCAAGGAGAGACTAGGGAAGCTGAGTAAAAGTGTGCGTCTGATCCAGGACGACGCACCAGCACACATGAGCAGGGTGACGATCAGCGAAGCAGTGAGCTGTGGCTTCGAGTTGTTGTCACAGCCACTTTTTTCTCCGTACCTTGCACCATCAGGCTGCCACCTCTTCCCCAACATAAGGAAATTGCCTAGCAGTGGCAACTTCGCTGACAGCAAGGAGACAAAAGCAGCCGTCTTGGACGTGCCAGATGCGTCCGAAACCCACTTGGCTATGGAGACCCAGGGGCCTCTCGCGAAGCGCTGCGCGAAATGTTTTTGTCTTAACGCTGGTTATTTGAATAAATGAACATTTTTTGTCTAATAAGTCGACGTCGTATCTCTGCTCCTTCATGGTCGGGCCGAGAACTTTTTGAACGCCCCTCGTACCATGACGAGGTATACGTGAGACAATATATCAAGAGATGTCATGACAGGCCATATTCTCCACTAAGGTAAAGGGCCAAGGCAATGGCAATACGGGAAGCCCATCTACGTAAAATGGTAATCACTTTTCAATAATTTCGTTATGCATATGTGGATGAACTAGCATTTGATAATCAAATGCACATTTTTGTATATTTGTCAGCATATTATCTCGAGACCTCTGTTTTCAAAGACCGTCACTTAGATAACATAATGAAACAACAAGTGTTTGTAGAAGTGAGACTACCTAACAACGTACACAGCTCGACCATCTTTCCCAGCTACGCACCCATCCACCAGGGCCAGAGCGATGAAGTCTCCGGTGCCGTTTTCCATCTGTTGTCCGTAGAGGAGCAGGCCGTCGGCGGCGTGACTGACAAACTCCACCTCCAGCTGCAGCTTGATGGTGGCCTTTGGAGCCCTCAACGTCAGGTAGGAGCGGCCCGAGAACGAGGGCTGCTCGTAGTTGTCGCCGTCCGCCGCTGGAGGCGCCACCGTCGGCGGACCGACTGAAACGGAGGCGCCGCTGGTGAGTTGGGGGAAACACACATCCAATCTGGATACTTTTGGTGTGCCAAGTCGTAGAAAGAAGTATTGTCAGAACAACTTTTGGATAGATTAAAACAATGTTTATTGTTTAAGTTTCAAGCTGAGAATCATTACATCTTATACTCAGGCACCCGTAAGTCAAGTCAAGGGACAAAATTCAAACAGGAGCTCACGCCTCTTGGGCCCTTTTACATGTTCTGTGCCTGTGCGATCCTGAGGCCGATCCCCGCCTCCTGCTGCCCCCACCGACCCCCGACCGCTGCCACCCCACTGACCTCTGACCCCCGTCCCTACTGACCCGGCTCCTGACAGGTATCTCCTCTCCACTCGGTTGTGCAGAGACAGCTGAAGCTCTCGTGGTCGGTCTCCGATTGTTGGCACACGCCGCCATGGAGACAGGGACGACTCATACAGGGGTTCAGCACCAGGCGTGTAACTCCCTCCGTGGTGAGCATGGGTGGCGTCATCGCTGGGGGTGAGAGAGAGAGAGAGAGAGAGAGAGAGAGAGAGAGAGAGAGAGAGAGAGAGAGAGAGAGAGAGAGAGAGAGAGAGAGAGAGAGAGAGAGAGAGGAGAGAGAGAGAGAGAGAGAGAGAGAGAGAGAGAGAGAGAGAGAGAGAGAGAGAGAGAGAGAGAGAGAGAGAGAGAGAGAGAGAGAGAGAGAGAGAGAGAGAGAGAGAGAGAGAGAGAGAGAGAGAGAGAGAGAGAGAGAGAGAGAGAGAGAGAGAGAGAGAGAGAGAGGAGAGAGAGAGAGAGAGAGGAGAGAGAGAGAGAGAGAGAGAGAGAGAGAGAGAGAGAGAGAGAGAGAGAGAGAGAGAGAGAGAGAGAGAGAGAGAGAGAGAGAGAGAGAGAGAGAGAGAGAGAGAGAGAGAGAGAGAGAGAGAGAGAGAGAGAGAGAGAGAGAGAGAGAGAGGAGAGAGAGAGAGAGAGAGAGAGAGAGAGAGAGAGAGAGAGAGAGAGAGAGAGAGAGAGAGAGAGAGGAGAGAGAGAGAGAGAGAGAGAGAGAGAGAGAGAGAGAGAGAGAGAGAGAGAGAGAGAGAGAGAGAGAGAGAGAGAGAGGAGAGAGAGAGAGAGAGAGAGAGAGAGAGAGAGAGAGAGAGAGAGAGAGAGAGAGAGAGAGAGAGAGAGAGAGAGAGAGAGAGAGAGAGAGAGAGAGAGAGAGAGAGAGAGAGAGAGAGAGAGAGAGAGAGAGAGAGAGAGAGAGAGAGAGAGAGAGAGAGAGAGAGAGAGAGAGAGAGAGAGACGGATGAGTGGTAGCGACGGTTATCAATGCTTCAAGCAACAGCTCAACCTATGAGTAGTTCGATCCGGTGGTCACACATGTTTTTGGTCAGAATCGAAACTTAAGTTTTATCGCATTGTTCCTTAGAAGTGTATTCATTATTTTCTGCAATTTAACATGTGTTCGCATCAAACGTGCCAAATTGAACAAAACTGCATGGGACCGATCGGACGATAGTCATACGAAGATTCTTTCGTGATACACTTACTTTCAGATCAAACACAAATTTACATGTTCATCCCCTTTCATTATCTACATCTTCCACCCTCAATGCCCCACCTGACTCACCTGTGCACTGTTGTCGGTTGGGTGCCTCCTGGTATCCAGTCTGACACTGACACACTCCCTCTCGACACTCCGACAGAGTGACACGACACTCCGCGTCCGCTCCACACGGACTGCCCAGCCAGCCCTGCACCAGAAAATCGTCCCGCGTCGTGGGCCGGCCTGAGTACCAGCCGCTCTCGTACTCTGGTAAAAGGTGCCGGGTAGACTTGGCCGCGGCTGGAGACGACTGCTCGGTGAAGGCAGACTGGAACAGCGTCGATCGCCGGAACGGAATGCCGGTGGGTTCCAGGGAAGTGTCTGTGGAAAGATGAATACGGTCTGTGTATATTTATGGAGCAATAACCAGAAACAAATAGCTCAATGCATTATAAATGAAACGGACAAAGTGATATAAGCTCAGACAGCGGAAGTTGTTCGTGAAAAGTTGAAGACGGCCATTTAAAAGAATGCTGATAACCTTCTAAGACAACATATGAACAGTAATCGCCCATAGGTCATACGAGACTCGTTTCATAAACGACCCTGATGAATGCACCCCAAAACATAAAATGTACGATATCCTGAAAAAAACAACCACTAAAATCCAAATAATTATCGTGATACGGGTACGCACCTTTATCCGCGCAGCGTCCGTAGGCCTCGATGGCGATATCTCGCTGTCCGCGGCAGGCAAACAGGCGCAGTTGGCACTCGTTGCGGTACGTCTGGCCGTCAGTACCGCACACCTCCTGCTCCAGTGGACCACCCGACTCGCTCTCCGGCTCGGGGCAGGTCAGGTTACACGAGCACTCGGCGCGGTCGGGAGTCCTCTGAATGCAGGCGGCGCCGAAATAGCAGGCCAGTTCCGAGCAGCTGGCGGCGCTCGTCTTCAGCTCACCTGGGTGGGGGAAAAGGTGAGAGGAAGTGAAGTGAGCTTTATTGGAGGTGAGGGTCAAGAGAGCTACGAGATAAAGGTTCTTCAGAAAAAGAGTAATATAGAGCGTCGTGAAAGACGCATATTACATAGGGTTTGACCTTCTCAGTTGAGCGCTATCTACTCACATTTCATAAAACATTGAAAAGCATGAAATAATTAGGAATTGCTTCCTTTTCAACCGGAAACCCAAGACGAAGGGTTACGACTTAATATTCCACTCGTTACAAGAACATTACCGGAACCTGCACTCCACCTACTACATAAATATAGCGCCCGACTAACTCCCGAGCTCTGAATCTCACACGAACAAAGTTAAACGCCAGACTAGCTGCCGTGGGGACCAGTTGGCCTCTGACCTTTCCCGCAGCCGTGAGGCAGCAGAGTCTGGCCCGGTGGACATTTGTTGCATTTGTTTCCGAACACGTTGGGTTTGCAGACACAGTAGCCCCGGGACTGTTCGCAGTCGTCCCGCGCTGAGCCGAACGCCGAACATCCACAGGCTGTGAAAGACGGGTAAATGAGTTAGCGCACAGTAGTCTGGAGGACACCGCAGATGTGTTAATGATAGATTGTACAAGAGATTGAAACGATGCTTGTTTAAATGCTAGGTAGAATAGCGAGTAGTTTTGACGAATTATCGGAATGGTACGGCATAATAAATAAAGTATAGGTAAGGCGTTTTAATTTTAATTTCATCGAAGGCAGTCTCAAATCTGACGCCATTTAACTTATCCATTCTCAGGCCACGGCAGGAAGCCATTTGGGTCTGAAATGGCACCCAGCGATCTTTATTTGCCGGTCATTGAGTGTCCATTCATCCCATCGTTCGTCGGCTTAATTTGCGCTCATTCAGGACATTTCATGGCGAAACACAATCAGCAAGGCAATAGAGAGTCATGTGTAATGGCTTGGACGTCCTCAGAGCCGACATTTTAGAAAGGGCTAAGCTCGCCAGGCCCAGAAAATGTGCAGTCATTTCGTTTGGAGAGGATTAAGGAATAGAAAATGGACTGAAATCTTGGTATGATATTGAAAAGCAGTGAATGCGTAGCAATGAGTCATATAAGAAAATTATCACTTCACGGATTACGATGCAAATGAGACTTATTCTGCGCATTCGTTTAGTCGCAGTACTCCATCAGACTTTGATGATGTCAAGAAAATGAAATGTGAAACCAAAGACCCTTCCTCGTATGCGCGCGGAGATGATGAAAAACGCACCCGAGAGTTCAAGAATATGACAAGAAACGTTGCTCATAACCGTAGCGTTTACATAAGATAAACAGCTTTGCCATAAGTATAATATGTGATTCACCAAATGCTACAATCCTGCATCTGCAGGCTTGCACACATTCAGTTACTAATAAAAGCTCGGTCTACTGCCTCAATGACCTGCAATATCGAGCATGCAATTTGCAGCGCATTATTTACCCGCCATAGCTGTTTATGTGGTGCGGGGAGGTCGTAAATACAAACCAAAGCGGCTGCGGACAGGCCACCGATTGCCGCCCACTGTCAGCCATATACCACCGAGACCCATAAACAGCGGCGATCCCATTACGAGCCCACCCTCATCAGTTAGTGCCGCCCACCACCTCGGGCCCTATCGTCCCCGCACTCACGGAGACAGCCGAGGTTGCCGCGCGCGATCTTGGGCAGCCCCCAGAAGCCGGGCTTGCAGCGGTCGCAGCGGCGCCCTCCGACGCCCGGTCGGCAGGCGCACTGTTTGGTGACCGGGTCACACTGCGGCCCCAGGGCGCCCAGACGGTGACAGCGGCACGAGGCTGGGCACCCGGCGCCCCGCGGACCCGCCGCGGGCGTCTCGCCGTCCTCACAACAGCCGTGAGTGGAGTTGGCGCAGCCGGGCGCCGGGAGCGTCACGCCCGGGGCGTCCGGGGCGCCGGGCGCGTCCAAGGTGTCCAGGGGCGCCACGGTGGCGGGCGCTAGAGGACAGCAGACGGCGGCGTCGGCCGAACGGTGGCAGTAGGCGATGGGAGGACAGGCGGCTCCGTCCGAACAGTCGTACGGTGCCGAGGTAAGCGGGTTCGTCACCGGGTCCAGGCCGTAACACGGCGATATGGTGATATCTGCACGGAAAGACCACGGGTGGCGGTTAGGGCAGGTGTATCGTTCGGAGTGATCAGTTCCAATGGGGACGAACACACGTTTACGTGAATACGCGAGTCAAACACTCTTTATTTGGGCACCACAGTTACCGCTAGGGGTATATGGGGGAAAGGAACACAAACATTGACGTAACAGTGACATATAAGCTAGATAACGTCACCGAATAAAGGAAAAAATGTCAAATGAGGAGAATAAAATTGGAAATTGATGATAAATAAATCACAAACAACAAAAACAAACAAAAATATAATAAAACAGCACCGGAATTAGCAAGTGGGATATGATTAAGGAGACATGTGTTGCGGTGGAGGAGTGAGCTAAATATCGCGATGTGGAGAGGATATGGCTGCATCTTGGCACCGCAGCAGCCGAAGGCCGGGGAGACATAAGAGGACAATAACCGTGGTCATAAAGAGCGCCAGGGAGGGAACGGTGGCCCAAGTTGGCACATAATGTCATAAGGTACCTTAGTTGGTATGCCCTAACTCAGACATCCGGATAATAGCCAAGCGGAGCAGCAGCTTAGTTGTAAAGGGTTATGTCCAATTAAGGTGTTCCGTGTTGGTGGGTCAGAAATCATGCGTCTACATATGGGTATTATGCAAGGTGCAACCGATCTTAGTGACAGTTGAAAACTGTTTTAGTGAAATGAAAAGTATCCTGACATGTAGTATTCTGCACCTTCAAATATTTGTGAGACATTAGAGCACTTGTGCAACGTAATGTAATGAGTGGAACGATAGATGACGTAAATAATGCTATAACTAAAGATTAAGTTTCACATAAGGACAACAGTAACACACATTTCGATGAAAAGGAGCATTGACAGATGACTATTTTTCACAAATCATATCGCTGCTATATGACACATTTAAAACACCATTGACATCCTTTGGAAAACACGTAAATATGCATACGAGTGCACTCGCACATGCAGGTATGTGCTGACTGCTGACACAGGTGTGGCAATGGGCAAGGGAGTGTGCACGTGACAATGATCTGTTTAACACCAAGCTTCATGGTATGAAGACATGTAGGTATATAAGCACAGTGCATATAAAGAGTATGCATGTAACATAAACGTAATCCAATAAAATAGCGTCAACAAAATTTTATGTGCATCGCTAAAGAAATCCCACGCTAAAAAGACAAGACTGGAACGAAAGCAAGTGCCGCAGTATCGCAGAGTTTGAACAAAGAACAAGCATGGCAACATACATATCCAATAGGGACACATTTGCGACAATATGCACACATTCAAAGGCTTGACGAAAACGTTTCCTACAATATGTGCCAAAACATGCACATATAAAGCAAAAAAGAAACAGGAAAAAACGCGATATCAGTTAACTTTTACGACCATGATAAAAAATACAGCCGACGTTTACCACAATCGCACTATCAAATTATGACAACGAACATGCAACATATCTATCTAGCTTCCATCTCCAGTCGTCACACCAGAACAAAGGCTTCACATCCCCAGCAACTCAATGAACCAAATATGTACGTACATGTATTTGAACACTGAGGATCTGTCAACATAAGCTATAAACAGCCACAGTACAAATAAACATCGAATGTTACGTGCATCTACGTGCTGTTCATCGGGCAGGGTCGTGTCCACAGCATGCCGGGACCAATGGTCAAAAGTCCTTAGAGCAGCTATACGCCCAGCACCTGATGTGAGTCCCTCGCAGAGGACGATGGGCCGCGGGCTGAGCTGCTGCTGTCGCTCACACGCCTCCCTCCTCAGGACACACTCAGACGGGTACAGGCGCAGGTCTGAGCCGCACACCGGCCCATCAGCCGGCGGCGGCGCGCCATCCTCGCCCTCACAGTTGAACAGACATGTGCAGCGAGGCAGCCGGTCCACCGACGTGGTGCAGGTGGCTCCGAACTCACAGCGAATGTCTTTGCAGAGGAGCAGGTCGGCGGGCCCGCCGGCGACTGTCTGCGGCCCTGCTGTCGAGTGAGAGGTGTGGGAGACTCACAGCGGTGAGCTCTGGTGAGAAGTTGGGATGGGTGACGGTTGATGGACGGTGGCGCAGTAAAGATGGCTGGAGTATGAAGGAAGGTAGGATTTGTGATTCACGACGACTTTTTCATTTTTTGACTGAAATTTGTAGCTTGACTGGTTTGTTATTGAAGGAAGATAGTTATAGATTATTCACTCTATCATTTGGGACGTTACGTGCAGCCCTCATTCCCTGCCAAATGAGGCTGGAGAGCGACTAGATCGCGTGTCTTTTCCAAGAATTAACCGCGGATGGCTGGCTTAGGAGGCAAACAGCACACTCTTTGACCAGACTTCTCCCTTTCACTGAAGAGGGGATTGTTAGAAAAGTAAGCAGGATTCCGTTAAAAGCAAACAAGCTCGTTCATGCGTTGCAAACTACCTTCAAGTGAGGAGGCACTTAACTAAATGAGCTAATTTCGGAAGTAACTTGTCCGGATTACGGAGACACGTCTACAGGAAAGGGACAAGAGAGTTGGGCAAGTTTCCTAATGACATAATCGTAGGACAAGCGAGTCGTCGTCAACAATCCCTAAACAAAGGCCAAACAAAGCTTGGACAGCCCCTCACACACACACAAACCCGCCCACTCCTCCCATTACTCCCACCACAACAACTCGATGATGAATAGCCTAGCGCTCCCTCGGGGAACATTTGTCTACCCCGGAGGAAGCACTGGGGTAGAGGAACTACTCAGGGAGCGCCTCTGGCACCTTTCCGACGGATGGCCCGACTTTGGGCCCGTGCTGGTAACGACCTCGGCTCGGCGCCGGGAACTAATGGCCGTGGGAGCGGCAGCAGCTACCGCCGAGCCAGTGCCACCTGAGGTGTGCAAGGGCCGGTAACTTTTCCCATCGGGGAGCGACGCTGACCCGTGGCTGAAACAGCACTCCGCACGGAGGTTTAGACGGGTAGGGTCGCTGTTACCTCGTTTGTTGGTGGCTGTTCGGTGGGGTACAACGGCTGGGAAACGGAGGGTACCACGGATGTGTTTTACAACCGTTCGAGTTAGTTCCTCCTAAGTGAGCAGTGCGATATATTTATGCTAGGGAAAATTGTTTCATGCGCAATTAATTTGTCAACAAGCCTCTACAGGTATAAGTTTTTTTATCGCGTTAACCCGGCAGTTGCTGGGGTATTTCGCCACCCACCGTTTGCTGGGGGGGGGGGGGGCGTTAAACGCCCCCAGCCGATAACTCGAGAACCAATAGGCGCAGCGAAACGCACGAGGCGGCAAACGAAAGAGCGCGACGAGACGCTTCAGATGAGTACTTTAAAGTTGAATTTTGAGGTCACAGGTCGGGTCAAGGTCAGGTCAAACACCTGAAATCGGGCTTTCAGTAGCATGGGCTTCAGGACTTCGCAATGGGCGCCTCTCGTCATAAACTCTGTCCAAACGGTGCACAATCCATCATATAAGGCCTACAAGAGTGTCAGCTCCATATAGGGGTCAGTCAAGCATAGGTCAGGGTCAAGGTCAGGTCAACCGGGTAGGCACATATCCCCGAAAATCAAAACTGATATTCGCAGCCTGTGACACATGTTTTATAGGTAATTTGGGGCGTAGAACACGATGGTGACATTCATTTTACCATATGTGTACGTGTTTGGCTCAAAAAGTTCAATTTAAGAAATGCATGTATCATGGTCGTGAAGTAGTCACGAAAAATTGCCAAGATTCAGTTCAAGATTATGGAAAATGCGGAACGATAATCAATAATCGAAGATAGCCATTTGATTGATCATGGTATTGGCAGTCTAATGGCGTTTACGGCATGTCTGTATGTCTGTTCTGTGATTTTATATGAATTTTTGAACTTATGCCGTTTTTGGTCGAAAACTCAGAAATCATGACGTCACTAAAACCTCGATATCTCAAAAATTTTCCGACTGATTTTTTTGAAACTTTGTCACAATAAACTTCAATCAATTCCCTACAGGTACCCAAAATTTGGCGCGCCTGCGGCGCGCCGTTTTTATGCTATAGCCCGGCGAAAAAAGTGGGGGCGTTTAACGCCCCCCCCAGCAACTCGCGGGTTAAGTTCAATCATTGGCACCTTTACTCAGGGACCTCTTCTCCGATTCATCGAGGACACGTCTAATCAAGCAGTTTTCCTGGCCGGACGGTCTACCAACTGGGGGTATGGCTGCCAGTGTCCTTATACTCACTGGAGGTGTCCTGACAGGGCCCCAGGTAGGCGGTGGTCAGCTGATGGTCCGCCGTGCAGGCGCGCGCCTGCATCAGACACTCGTTGTTGTAAGTCACTCCGTCGGTGCCGCAGACCGGGTCATCAGCGCTAGGGCAGTCGGTCGGACAGACGCAGCGGCCCGCCTCGCAGCGGGCGCCGAACTTGCAGACCACGTGCTGGCACAGGTCTGGGGGAAAGAGCGCACCGCGGCACGTGAGCACGGGAGCATGGCATGGTGCAAGAGGTACTCGCGTTATGTGAGGTCGCATGTCTGTTGGACAGAGCACGTGAGGCCAGAGCTGTATGCACGACATACGGAGTACCTATGTCACGTGATAAAAGGTCAGCTGGGCCGACCCAGCACGTTTAGGCGTAACGGTACACAGGCCGATGACGTCATGTGCCGATTTAACAAATGTCTGGGAGTAAAGCAGCTTCATAGAAACTGACATGCGTTGAACGTGGATAATGAACAGTTATTACCAACTAAGCACACTGTCTATTGGCTTATATTCGTATGCCATATACGTAAAACAATGGCAAAGGAACACCAAACGTTAGTGCGTGATTTGCAGACGGTAGCAGCTCGGCACTCTACATTGATCTCTAGATGTTTCAGATCGCGTAAGTTTCGGGCTAAAACGATGATCGAGTAATGTATGACATGCAATATAGTGCGGCTAACGGCCCAATAGCCCCAATCGTCTGCATCTGTGATATTGCAGAAGTTTCCAGTAGCTTTAGAGGAGTAATATATAGCGTGTTCATCTAGCGTGCCGTGATATATACCTGAACCTGGTCGATAGCTTCAATGGAATCGTATCGTTAATGAGATCGTACCGTGATAGTGTCGTGGAATTTGGAAACATGCCTAATTGAAGCGTGATAACATACTTCAGCTGCTGGTTTAAGCTGTAATCGTGACTTCTCTCAGTTTATTTCAATTTCTGTATATCGCAAATCGAGCACAAAAACTAAGTTAATCCGACCAATTTAGCTGCATCTGCTTTACAAGTCCCACTAAAGCTTTCTGTTCCATGTCATACAACTGATATGAACCAAATTATTTCTCCGTTTGAAGGAGACGAATGACAACACATCATTCTTCTTGTGGTGGAAGAGTCAGAGCCGACATTGATATCTTTTTAAAAAGAGACGCAGCATGAGGATTTGCGATGGAGCCCAAACTCAGCCAAGGAACATAACGTCAGTTATATCAGCTCCAAGTTGTAATATCGTCGAAACCATTAACCCGCGAGTTGCTGGGGGGGGTTAAACGCCCCCACTTTTTTCGCCGGGCCATAGCATAAAAACGGCGCGCCGCAGGCGCGCCAAATTTTGGGTACCTGTAGGGAATTGATTGAAGTTTATTGTGACAAAGTTTAAAAAAAATCGGTCGGAAAACTTTTGAGATATCGAGGTTTTAGTGACGTCATGATTTCTGAGTTTTCAACCAAAAACGGCATATGTTCAAAAAATCATATAAAATCACAGAATAGACATACAGACACACCGTAAACGCCATTAGACTGCCAATACCATGATCAATCAAATGGCTATCTTCGATTATTGATTATCGTTCCGCATTTTCCATAATCTTGAACTGAATCTTGACAATTTTTCGTGACTACTTAACGACCATGATACATGCATTTCTTAAATTGAACTTTTTTAGCCAAACACGTACACATATGATAAAATGAATGTCACCATCGTGTTCTACGCCCCAAATTACCTATAAAACATGTGTCACAGGCTGCGAATATCAGTTTTGATTTTCGGTGATATGTGCCTACCCGGTTGACCTGACCTTGACCCTGACCTATGCTTGACTGACCCCTACATGGAGCTGACACTCTTGTAGGCCTTATATGATGGATTGTGCACCGTTTGGACAGAGTTTATGACGAGAGGCGACCATTGCGAAGTCCTGAAGTCCATGCTACTGAAAACCCGATTTCAGGTGTTTGACCTGACCTTGACCCGACCTGTGACCTCAAAATTCAACTTAAAAGTGCTCATCTGAAGCGTCTCGTTGCGCTCTTTCGTTTGCCGCCTCGTGCGTTTCGCTGCACCTATTGGTTCTCGAGTTATCGGCTGGGGGCGTTTAACGCCCCCCCCCCCCCAGCAAACGGTGGGTGGCGAAATACCCCAGCAACTGCCGGGTTAAAAAAAAAATATGAAGCAGCATTTAGGAACGTGTATGTTCAGCGTATAGTCGCCATTAGCTATGAGTGGTAATTACTTTTCTCGGAGATGACTATTCAAGATGTCTTGCTGAGCCTCTTAACAAAAACAAATAAAGGATAAATGATAACAATAACACGTCAAATGTATATTTAAACAGACAAATATCTCGTAGAAAAAAAAATATCTCGTAGAAAACATCAGAGCAGCTTTGTTTTCACTCTAAAAGACATCTCGAGGCATACACAAGTTATTGTGAAAATAGACGAAGTAGCGACCTTTCTAGCACGCAATCTGCCAGACCTAAGTGATGGCAAGGAAATTCGTGAGGACTGACTAAAAGGGAAGTCCTTTGAAGATTATAAAAACATCGTTATTTTTTCCTTTACTACATATTTCAATCCAAAGACCATCTCTACGCCGATCCCATTCCCACAGACCCCGATGACCAGACTCTTATACCCAACCAAAATCGCAGACCTTTCAGGCCAGCACCACAGACTCTGGCGCCAATTGGGTGGGTTTCCAGTTCCGTCTGACTCCCAGGGGTACTGACTGGAAGCGTTTGACGGCTGTCAGTCCGCTCGTAATCCCACCCTTACCGGCCGGTTAGCTGCACTACCAACAGGAGAACGAAGTGGGCAGCCGCGCTGCGGGCGCACCATTACCTGATGAGCACACCCGCCGCGCGAGCGGATGATAAAAGGCCCGCCGACGTAAAGGCTGAAACAGACTCTTTCCGCATCAATCGCTCGCTCGCATCGCTCGCACGACTCGGATCTGAAAATCGTATGTCCCGCAAGCACTTCTCGCACGACTCGCTCGTCCGCATCACCCGCAGTTCTCGCATCGACTTCTCGCATCGATCGCACTGTCCGTGCGAGAGGGAACTCAAGGTATCGATATAGAAGAAGTACAAGTAGGTATCTAAATTTGTGTGAAAATTTGTTTTCATGCAATGTTCTCATGTTTATTATTCGATGACTATGGACACTTAGTTGTTACTTATGTCTAAAAATTGAGAATAAGTGATGGAAAGCTATGGCAGTGGGTAAGGAGATGCATTGGTACGTACTTTGTTGGTGTCGGTGCTCGGATTGCTGATGAGCTGGCCAGCCTGGGGCCCCCGCCCGCTGTCCCGTGTCGCCTGCCGCGTGTGGGCGCCCTATAATCGCCGGAAAGCGTAGCAGTGCCCCTAGTCTTCCTGCCGCTACTCCCGACGAGGTTAATGCGTACTTTGTTGGTGTCGGTGCTCGGATTGCTGATGAGCTGGCCAGCCTGGGGCCCCCGCCCGCTGTCCCGTGTCGCCTGCCGCGTGTGGGCGCCTGCGGCTTCCGCGTGCGCGGCACCACGTTGGCCGGCCTGCGGGAGGTAATGTTCTCCATGAAGCGTTCCGGTGTTTGTGGGCCTGACGGAATTTGTATCCGTATCCTAATCCTATGTTTTGACGCCATCGGCCCTGTCCTTCTCCACATCATTAACTCGTGCCTTACCAGATGTGAAATCCCTGATTCATGGAAACACTCCCTGGTGCATCCTATTTTCAAGTCCGGCGACCCTTCCTTGCCCTCCAATTACCGTCCTATATCCATAGTTCCCGTCATAGCCAAGATTGTCGAACGTGTGGTGCAGCGACAGCTGTATGCCTATATGTCCGACAATCATCTCCTATCCTCATCCCAACACGGTTTCCGTCCCCACCATTCAACCGAGACCGCTCTGCTCTCTGTTACTAACAGTATTTTCTCCAACATGGACCGTAGCCACCTTTCCCTCCTGTGCCTCTTGGATCTGAGCAAATGTTTTGACGCTATTCCACACTCTCTGCTCCTTAGCAAACTTCAGCAATATAACATTGACACATCCTGGTTTTCTTCGTATCTCCATGGTCATTCCCAGTCAGTTTCCATCTGCTCTCCTTCCGGCAACAGAGTGGTCTCAAATCCCCTTCCTATCACCACGGGAGTGTTCCAGGGATCCGTCCTTGGTCCTCTCCTATTCACCATCTTCTCCAACGACCTCAGCCTGCACGCACCGGACGCCCATGTGACTCAGTACGCTGACGACACCCAAATCCTGTTGTCCGATGTCAAAGCCAATCTTCCTGACCTCATCCAACGCATGGAATCTACCCTTTCCACCTTGTCTGCTTGGTTCCATGCCCATGGCTTAAAACTCAACGCGTCCAAAACTGAAATCCTTCTCCTCGGCACCCGTCAGAACACCCGTAACCTCCCCCCTGTCAGCGTACGGGTCGGTGGTGGGACTGTTCGGGAGAGCCGGACAGTCAAAAACCTTGGCGTGCTGTTTGACCGTCATTTGAGTTGGGACGCACACGTCAGTGACGTGGTTCGCCACTGTACCGGCCTCCTGATTGGTCTCCGCCACCTGAGACATTTCCTCCCGCAGCACGTACTGAAAACTATTGTTGAGGGGTTGGTCATCTCGCGCGTGAGATACTGCATATCTGTTTACGGAAACTGTTCTGCCGATAACTGTGCCAGACTTCTCAAAATTATTAACTTCGCTACAAGAGTTATTACCGGCCTCAAAAAGTACGACCACGTATCTCGCGCGCGGGATGACCTGCGCCTCAAATCGGCCAGTGACATGTACCGGGTCGCAGCGGTGACTGTCGCGCGCGGTGCGATTGTGCGCGGTGAACCGACCGTCCTCGCCTCACTGTTCGCCACGAACGCGGGGTCGCGGGCCAGTGGTGACCGCACCACCCGGAATGACCGTCGCCTACGGCCACCGGTTTCGCGCACTGCGGCTGGGCAGCGGGCCTTTTCACACCAAGCGACCGCGCTCTTAAACCAGCTGCCCGCTGCCCTTTTAGATCTCGACCCGGACAGTTTTAAGAAAGCAGTAAAGGCGCACTTCTGATGGGGTTCCGTGAGGCTGTTATTGTCGGTGATCTGATTGCGTATGACGTGTGCATTGAGTGCCTGGTGTGTGCGTGGATGTGTGATTTCTGACGGTAAATTTTATTCCCATTTT